AAAAAAAAAAACAAAACACAACAGATCAGTCCACAAGGTGGCAGAAGTGTGCTAAAAAAAAAAAATGATTAGGTGCAAAAATCTCAGAATCCCTGGTATTGTAGAAATGTAAAGCTGGACAGGTCTGAAAGACCTGTCTCCAGTGGATCGCCCTAATTGTGCAGGAGAAAATAGAGAAGCAGAAAATTCAAATTCCTTATAAGACTTGGGGTTCCCCACCTGTCAGTGACAGCTAGCAGTATAACCAAGAGTTCCTGAACTTTGGTGTAATGTTTTAAAGCAATTTACTCACATTGGTTTAATGTTTTGCTCCCATTTACCATGCTATCTAAACATAGAATAAAGTAAAAAAAAATAAAGTAGAATAATACATTTTCAACTAGTGTATATGGGTGAAGAAGTGGAGAGGTAGCCAGAACAAGTTGAACTTTTCTATGAAGAATGCTCCTTACACATTTGATCACGCTATTGAAGCTAACATGTTTCTGAAGTATAGTTAACAATAAATATGTGCTCAATGCAACTGGGATCCTGGATTGGATCCGAAACAGAAAAAGGATATTAGTGGAAAAACTGGTGAAGTCCCAACAATCTGCAGTTTAGTTAATAGTATTATACCAATGTTAATTTCTTCTTTTTGACTAATGTACCATGGCTATGTCAACATTAGGAGAAGTTGGGTGAAGCATATAGAGTATATGGGAATTTTCTGTACTGTGTTTGCAACTCTTCTTTAAAACTATCCCAAAATAAAAAGGTTATTTAAAATACTAATAAAAGTATTGAGGTGGGAGGCTGAGAGGGAGGAGGTAGATGCAAGACTTTTCACTGTGTACCTTTTACAACATTTTAATTTTTAAACTATATGAATATATTACATTTTAAAAATAATTAAATCAGAACAAATTTAAAGTGCTTAAAAATAAGTAAGTGATAAAATCAGGTACAAAGCCCGTTTGATCATTGTCAGCAATACTGATTTCCTTCTGCCTCTACTTTTTTAAGAAGTAACACAACTCATAAAAGAGAAAGCAAAAAATAAATTACAAAATTTAAAAGCACGTGTGCATGTACACACTCACAGCACAGTGTACCCAGCTGTTTAAATTCAAAATGGTAAGTAAGCCAACTTAGGTAATTGCTAGGATGTGGAAAAAAGACATAACAACAAACCTTCTCTGTATACATGCAGACTCTAAAACAAACAATTAAATGGAGCCCGTGCACTTGCTTTCATTCACTTCACAAATATTTACTAGGCCTGTACTCATTGTCCAAGGTGCTGGAAATAGTCATAAATACAAATAAAGTAGCCTTCATAACAAAGACTTGAATGACTCTTCCCTAAGGAGTAAGATTTACCCATTTTTCAACCTATTTTAATGCTCACTCTTAAAATATTGTATCATTGGGGTGGGCGGCCTCTAAGATGGCACCCAGTAATCCCCAATTCCTGATATTGGCTCACTTGTGTAATCCCTTCTCCTTCAGTGTGAGCTGGACTTACTGACTCACATCTAATAATTAGAATATGGCAGAAGTGACAGGATGTCACTTCAGAGATTAGGTTATAAAACAACTGTGACTTCCCTCTTAGGCACTCCCTCACGCTCTGAGGGAAGCCAGCTGCCATCTCATGACGCAGCCCTGTGGAGAGGCCCATGTGGCAAGAAATTGAGGTTTGCCAACAGCCACGGGAGTGAGTTTGAAAGCAGATCCTCCCCTGGTTGAGCCACAAGATGACTGCAGCCCCAACTGACACTTGGTAGCCTGTGAGAGACCGTATGCCAGAACCACCCAGCTAAGCTGCTGCTTGGCCCAGAGAAACCATAAAAATCGAAGGGCTTGCTCTTTATGGTCACTGTGCTTTCAGGTAATTTGTTACGCAGTGATAGGTGACTATTGCAACTTCAAGACTGTTGTTGCTAAGGTACAAGCTGAGAAGAGTATGACGTGGGTTGGTGCAACATAAATTTGAGGACATCCTCCAGGATCCCTCAGAGAGAAACTCAAAGGAAGGCTCAGAAGGGGAAGGAGGGAACTGGGCAGAAAATGACGCAGCTCCCCAGGAAAAGAGAGGCAGGAGTAACGAATGGTGAGGTGTGAGAGGATACATATGCCTAGAATGGCAGTGCTGGGATGGCTGAGGTGAGCAAGACCTCTGCTACAGCCAAAGCTAATAAAGAATGATGCTTGATCACGGCAGAAGCACGAAGGATCCAGTCTTCAGTTCACTTACTTGTGCAATTAGAGTTTTAAGGGCCAGTAGGCGCCCCTGAGCCGCAGCTTCATGAAGTGGGGATCGATCAGCCCAGCAGTCTGAAATACAAATCAAGCTCAGAGTCAAGGTCTGGAGACTTCTTCCTGCAGCTTATTCATGCTGCCCACCAACCGTGAGGGGAGGTTTGGGGCAATCTCATAAGGCAAAATGAAGGGCAAAGCAGGTTAATGTGCTTCCATATTTTTATCCTTCCCCTGCCTCCCACCTCCACTGCAAAGACTCAAAGGCCTGTGCACTATGAAGGAAACTCTAAGAGACCAGGGAAAATGGTTTTTTCCCCAAATTTTCTAGGTAGTTGTTTCTGCTTCATTTGATAATGAAGTATATCTATTATTAATATAATGCAGAATGTCATTTTTCAGATGATCGAATACTCCAAAAGTTTTTCCCTAAAACAGCTTTGTTATGGGCACTTTAGTGTGATGGCTGAGCATGGGGCCAGTGGAGCCAGACTGCGTACTTTGACGACCTTCTCTGCCCAAATCAGCAAGTCACTAAAATTATTCGAGCCTCAATTTCCTTATCTGCAAAATGAAGTTATAGTAATCTAGTATTTGGCAAGTGCTTTGGTCTCTAAGTAGGCCAATAAAATACAGCCATGATGGTAGGTGCTCCAGATATGTTAGGTGCTCCAGTTTATGACTAATAAGTAGGCACAGCAGGGTAGCACTCCAAGGAACAGCCTCAGAACTGCCTTACAGATTTTTCTTATAATTGCTTGAAATAACCAGCTTAAATGTCCATTTACATGTCTATTAAACATCCCGAAGAGCAGTCATTTGTTTTGGAAGAAAACCTACTCCAGTTTGCAAAATGTGGGAATTTTTCAAATGACGACTATGCTCTCTATACGCTGAGTAGAATGTAATGCAAATTGCATTTAACACAAAAGGCCCCTCTTCTCAACTTCTTCTAGGTGATCCTGATAATGTTAAGAACTCAGGATTTCCATACCTATAAACACAGCAAAACGAAAATCCCACCAAAGATGGAATTATATAAACTTAAAATAACTCAAGGCCTTAAGGAAAGAGTAAATTTTTCCAATGGATGAGAACCAGGGTTATAAACAATTTCAGTAAATCCTCTTTCTACATTTAAACTCAATGTATCTTCTCTAACCCTTTGGGTTATAAAAATGGGGAAAGGTTAAATGAACCCTATGGGTTGGATTGATATTGTAGCAACTGGTACAAAAATCTGATTTTCAATATGTCTGGATAGATTTTAAAAAGTCAATTTAGATGTAAAGCATAGATGTGTATGTATACACATATTTTTTAGCATTGTATGCTGAGAAAACCTAAACCAGGGTTCCTTGGAGAAATAGTTGACCCCAGGCCTGGGCCAGGAAAAATATAAGATGGACCTCATCAAACGTTTTACCAGAAAGGAAGTACTCAAAGAAAGATGAGAAATGTCAAAAAAAAAAAACAGAAGCTGGCTCAAAGGGGCTTTTCATTGGCCAAATATGGGACAATTTGAGCACCAAAAATAAACAATGAGAGTAAGAGATTATATCTCATCAAATAAAATAGTAATCTAGAAGTCCTCACTGACATAAATGAATATATAAAGATGGAGAAAAGAAAGCACTTCATAATAGAACACCAACTTACAAAAGTGGAAGAAATAGTAGAATCATCCTTGTCTCCCCATAAAATAATTACTAATTATAAAGGGAGCAGGGGTCGTTTTACAGAAGAAAACTGTAGAAACCATCTTACCCAAGTGAACAAAGTTAACATCATTAGCAATGGAACAAATCGGTACTGTGTGCCGTCTGATGGAACGTGATGAGACAGCATGCCACCGCTTCCGTGACATTCTTGATCGAAATGCATAACCCCGATCTGATTATGAGGACACCATGCACCAACCTAAACCGAGGGGACATTCTACTAAATAACTGGCCTGGAACTAGTTCAAGGAGGGACTGAAGAACAGTTCCAGATTGAAGGGTGCTGACAAGACACAACAGCTAAAGGCAACACACCTGATGGCTTTGCTATTAAGGACATCATTAGGGCAGTTGGCTAAACATGAATGGGGTCTCTGGACAAAGAGAAATAGGAATTCTTTGTACTGTTCTTACAACTGTCAGTTGAAATTAGTTCCAAAATAAAAAGTAAAACAAAAATAAACAGATAAATAGATCAAATCACTGGTGATCCCTCACTCCTGATATAAATGTCTAATGCTTTTATAATAATAAAGAAAAAGAGATAAAATTTTTAACATGAACATATATTGTGTTTGTATCTCCACTTATTCCAGAGTTGCTTAAAAGTTGAAGATTGAAATATTTTTAAATCTCTTTGGACATTTATAATTTGCATAAACTGGAAATAATGAGATAATATATGTATATAATGCTCGATCAGTGAGGCTTGGTTTTCCTGTAATTATCTCTCCATCTCATTCAATGTGAAGTGTATATCAGAGATGTTCCTCTCTTGCCTGATCGCTCTTGGAAGTGAACGCAAACATGGGGGTTGGGAAGACAGTCTTTACCCACAGCTGCCGACTCAGCACTCTCACCAGTGGAAGAAGCAAAGCCACAGTTGGGGCTTTGTTACTCCATTGTTCAAACAATAGCCAGTCAACCTGAGTCGCCTGAAGGTACTACAAGTATTCACTTCAAAAATAAAAACAAGATTTAAGTAGCAACTTGCTATTAAAAGAGTTGTCTCAAGATCTCAACATGAAATGGCTTTATTGTTTCTAAATCTTGCCTCCAAGGGGGGCATGGTGGTTCCCTTTCCTCCTGGGAAGCAAGAACTTTAACCACACCTTTGTCCTATTTCAAACTTTCCAGTAGCTTTCTGTTACTCATGAGTCCCATAAGCCCTGATCCATATACACAACAACATGGATAAATCTCACAAACCTAATGTTGCGTGAAAGAGCCAGACACAAAAGAACACGTGCTATATGATTCCGTTTCTATAAAGTACACAAGGAGGGCAAACTCACCTTGGGTGTCAGGAGACAAAAGTATCCTGAGGAGGGGCAGGGGCATGCTGGAGGAGGACCTGGTGGAGGCCATGCAATAATAGGAAGTTTCTTGCTTTTGGGAGCTGGTTCCCAACTGTGTTCACTTCTCAAAAATTCATCCAGCTGTTCACTTAGGATTTGTGCACTTCTCTGTATTTATGTTATACTTCCATAAAGAGTTTTTAAAGCAACTCAGGCCAGCCCCCTTTCTACCTGTATCTCTGATCATGTGCACAGATCCTGGCTTCTCCTCACTCCCAGGGCACGAGGTATGGCTCTGTCTGGTCCACTAAGCAGCTGGAGGTGGAAGGGCCGCATGTTCTTCACATGCCTCCCACTTCTTCCTTCTAGGTGCCAGCTCCTCTGGTGCCTTGGGAGTGGGGAGAAGTGAGGAACAGGGAAGATGTCTCTCCAGTTAACTGGAAGAGGAGGCCAGTTCTGCTCTCTTGGCCACAACTGCAGACCTCACTCTGGGTCTGTGGCATGCCCTTCATGCCAGGGTTCATTCCCAAGCACCTTTTCTACCCATTGGCATTTGGCCACCTCTCCTCGTGTCTTCCATCAATGCAGCATCCTCTAATGTCCTCTACTCGCACCCCATCCCTGTGAGGTCGCGGTGACAAGCCTGTGGTGCCATCTTCCACTCCACCAAGAAAGAGGGAATGGTGGCTGTCCTGGGCTTCTCCCTCACCATCCCACTGCTTTCCAATTCTCTTTCCCCCTATTTGGATAGCATGGAGGAGTAGTTCAACAAGTTGTCTGAGCAGGCTTCCAACTCAAGAGCGAAATACCAGGCTCCCCTCCTCTCGGGTGCCCCTTATCTAAACTTGTATTTCTCCTCAAGCCCCCATCCTGTGGCTTTCAGTAGAGGAGGGAAGAGCCTTGCTTTATCAACAGGGACACCCCAAAATGTACAACAACCACTTTGCTCCACATGAAGCAATCTCATGGCTAGTAAGTGGCAGAAGTAGGATTGAAACTCAAGTTTTGGGGACTTCAGAAAACACCTTGCTCTGGTTTTAAGAACCATTGGTTTTTAAATTCTGCTTATCCTTATAGTAGATTTAATTTGTCTTGGGATGCTTTGACATCCACTTTCGTTTCCCAGCTGGAAACAGAATCACTCTCAAGAAAAACATTTCCAGTTCCATCGTTTTCCAAGACTTGCTTCAAAGGACCTTGAAGGGTTTTCACACACAATCCTTTTCCAGAAATTGCCACCGTAGGGTCTCCTATTTTTCTATTCTTGTTCCCAACAGTCTTTTACTCTTATCATTCTCATTTTGCAAGTTGGAGCTAATTGTGAGAAACTGAGGATAAAAGTTATTTGGCAGCTTGGGAGTTTTTCCATTCCTTTCAGGAAATATGCAACTAAGCTTTCCAAATAAATGAATGCTTAAAAAGGACTCAATCGTTCTCCTCTAAGGCAATCTATTTTTAGTTTTTTGGCAGACCGCCTGTGTCACAGGGCTGCAAACACATTATGAAGATAGTTTACTCTGAAAATATGTTTGCTTGTTCTTGATGAGGTGTACAGAAAATGTCCAAGCACTTTTCCATTTTCCCTTTTGAATTTTTCTCAGAATGTGATTTATATCTCTAGTTCTCAGACTATTTGAATAACAACAGCTTCTAAAACCATATATTTCAATAACAAAATTGGTTCAGATAGAATACAGTTGTCTAAGTTCCAAGTACTCGAGATAAAAACCAATTATTCTTTTTAATTTTTTTTTTTTTTTGCAAATTATACCTAATTCCAACAAGGATTTCAGATTACCAGTTTATTATTCAAAAAGACCACCTAACTGGTTATAATCCCTGGTGCACATGGAAAAATCTTTATTCTCTTTATTCAAGTTCTAAAATCATATTAAGCAACATTTTCTTCTGTACCATTTATTAAAGAAAAGAAAATGCATAGGGAACTTCAATTGAGAACCAAAGGATAGGCAAGAGCCTAGAAGAATTAGTATTTTAAGTAATTTCTCCAAGATAATTAGAGAAAAACATACTATAATAAATTTCCTGAGATATCTAAAATATTATAATAAAACTGAGTTAAAATGGGTATTATTCTCTAGAATGTTCCAGTGCTGGTTAGATCATATACGGTCAATGAGCCATTTCAGACACAATGAACCATGTTGTGGTATGTTACAAAGAAGGCTTCTTTGAACCCATTAGGGGCAGGAGAGCTGAAATAATGGTGACCTGTGGGAGGCAGAGCCCCGTGGGGACTGGTTGTCCCAACTTGGGAAAGCCCAGCAGGCACCTGAGATATGGAACCACTTAGAGCATGGTTAGGCCAATGTTTGAGGAGACAACCGGTGAAACTACGTAAGAGCAGAAGGCTGGTAGAGGTTTGGGCAAGAATTGAATAAAGGCAGGCAAATCCTATCTGAATGGAAAAGACAGGAAAAACAAGCTAGAAAGATGAGTCAGGCAGAGGCAAAAACGTCAGATGTCAAATCATGGTCAGTTTGTTGGTGAGTGATTTTAAGTGTAACACTTAGAACAGTACAAATCTTTTTAGACTTAGCTTAAGCACCTCTCTCCTGAGAAAGGTGCCTACATAAATATCTACAGACTGAAGGTGGGATCTGGTGATCCACCTGATGCTCTAGACATAACACCAACAGCCATGGACAATGTTTCAACTTAAAAAAAAAAAACCATATACACACACACACACACACACACACACATACACAGAGGAAGGAAATAAAACAGGGAAATTAACATGCATCATTCTCAGCCCTGCCTATTTAATGATAATTGAAAAAT